CGTGGCGAAAAGTACAATACCTTCAACGAGGAGTGTGTCAAGCGTCGCGGTATCATCGTCATAAACAATAAAGACAATTTATGCCTGCCCCGCACCCTCGTCGTCGCCACGGCTCATGCGGACAAGGACGCCGAGTAAAGAAAGGTGCGCAGAGATATCGGAAAGCTGCAGATTCTGCGAGCTCAAGATCTGATGCGGGTGGCAGGGATTGTCATACCTGAAGAGGGCGCAGGTATTCACGAACTACAAGAGTTCCAGCGGTATCTCTCCGACTACCGCATCGTCGTGTACCAGTATGGCAGCAAAGGCCGCGACGTGATATTTAAGGGCTTCACAGAGGGCCCGTCGTTAAATTTAATGTATCACGAGGGACACTATAATGTCATCACGTCGCTGACGGCGGCCTTCTGTTGTGATTATTACTGCGAGAGGTGCAACATACCGTACGACCACAAAAACAAACACAGGTGTGGAGGTATCTGCCCTGCGTGCCAGCAGTCGCCAGCATGCCCCGAAGACATTGCCGTTACCTGTTCCGACTGTCAGCGTAGCTTCAGGGGGCAGCAATGCTACGATAACCACTTGACAAATATCTGTGCTCAAATTCGCCGTTGCCCCGACTGTCTCAAGGTGGTAAAAAAGGGCAGAACCCATATCTGCGGGCAGATATATTGCAAGATATGCAACGTCCACGTCCCCGCAGACCACTTGTGCTACATGCAACCCAACACAGGGAAGCCGAAGACCACCGATCTTCTGTTCGTCTTCTACGATTTGGAGACGCAGCAAGAGAAGACGAGGCCGGACGGGTCCCTCCTGCACGAGCCTAATCTCTGCGTAGCGGCCAGCAGGTGCGACGCGTGTATTGACGAGAAAAACTTATATTTCTGTCAAAAGTGTGGATACCGACTAGTCGTGTACAAGGAAGCAATTATAGACAATTTTCTAAAGTATGTGTTCGCTGCTAGACAGAAATTTAAACAGGTGGTGGTCATGACACACAACGGCCAGGCTTTCGACCACCAGTTCTGCCTGAATTACATCCTGACACAGACGGACCTCACCCCCGAACTCATCATGCGGGGTACCAAAATAATTTCCATGGTGGTGGGGAATGTTATGTTCCTGGACAGCCTAAATTATTTCCCCATGGCACTGTCCAAGTTGCCCAAGGCTTTCGGCTTGGGCAATAATTTCAAGAAAGGTTACTTCCCTCACCTGTTTAATACCTCAGCCAACGCAGATTACGTGGGCCCCTACCAGCCGCCGAATACTATGACCCTGATAATATGAAGGCGGAAGATCGTGCCAAGTTCCTCGAGTGGCACGAGGAACACAGGGATGACGAGTTCGATATGCAGCGCGACCTCGTCGAATATTGTATATCGGACGTGGAGATCCTGACGGCTGCATGTCTCAAGTTCCGACAGCAGCTGATGGAAACGGGGAATGTCTGCCCGTACACGGAAGCCTGCACTATAGCCTCTGCGTGCAATAAGGTGTACAGGCGCAACTTCCTCAAGCCAAACACCATCGGCATCATCCCCAAAGGCGGCTACAGATGGCGCGACAACCAAAGCAAGATAGCCATACAGTGGTTAGTGTGGGAGGAACACCAGCGACAAATAAACATTCAACACGCTGCTAAACAGCAAGAATCTCGAGTCGCCGGTGTAAAAGTCGATGGGTACTGCGAGGAAACCAAGCAGGTGTTTGAGTTTAACGGCTGCTACTTCCACGGCTGCCCCACCTGCTTCAAATGTAATAGAGACGCTCCTATGCCCGAAGACCCCTCCCAGACATTAAACACTCGACACGAAACCACTCGTGCAAAGATACAAAGACTTCGAGACCTCGGTTACGAGGTCGTTGAAATGTGGGAATGCGAGTTTAGAAGATTAATGGCGCAAGACGGGCAAATCGAAGACTACACTACCAATCACCCCTTAGTTACGCTAACACCGCTAAACCCCAGAGATGCTTTCTTCGGAGGCCGCACAGGGAACACGGTCGAATACTACAAGTGCGGCCCAGGCGAAAAAATCAAATACGTTGACGTATGCTCCCTGTACCCCTGGGTCTGCAAATACGGCAAGTTCCCCGTAGGCCACCCTAAAGTTTATGTGGGCGAGGAATGTCCTACAGATCTTCGCAATGTTAACGGGGATGTTAAATGCAAGATCCTCCCTCCCCAGAACCTCTACCACCCGGTGCTCCCCGCCAAGATGAATGACAAGCTCATGTTTGTTCTCTGTCGCACCTGCGGAGAACACATGAACACGAGCGAAGAGTGCCGACATAGCGACGAAGAGAGAGCCCTTACAGGTGTATGGGTGGTGGATGAGGTACATAAAGCCCTTGAAAAAGGGTATCGTCTGCTGACGATCCACGAGATATGGGCCTACGACGTTCAGCAGTACGACAAGACCAAAAATGTATCTGGTTTATTCACCAGTATGATGAACAAGTTCGTCAAGGTAAAACAGCAGGCGTCCGGCTGGCCCACCCATTGTACCACAGACGAGGAGAAGGAGCGTTACATCGAGCAATTCCTCGAGAGGGAAGATGTTAAGCTCGAGTCTGCGGAGATCTTGGAGAACCCTGGGCTACGGTCTCTCGTAAAACTCATCTTGAACAGCTTTTGGGGAAAACTGGGGCAGAGGGAGAACCAGCCCAAAACATCTATTGTGAGAAACCCCGCTGAATTCTTCAGCATGCTCACAAACCCCAGCATCTACGTTAACTCGGCGCTCCCGATCAACGAAGACACGCTCGTCGTTAACTGGGAGCACAGGGAGGAGGCCTACGACCCGCTCGCTACCGTAAATGTCGTCATAGCCGCTTACGTCACTACCCAGGCACGCTTAAAGCTGTACAGTTACCTGGAACAGCTGGGCGACAGGGTCCTGTATTACGATACGGACTCTGTAATTTACGTGGCTAAAGACGGAGAGTACGACGTACCAACGGGTGAATTCCTCGGCGATATGACGGACGAACTGGAAGGATACGGACCCGGAAGTTACATATCCGAGTTTGTCAGTGGCGGTCCGAAAAACTACGCATACAAGGTCTTCTCCACCAGAGATAATGAGGAGAAGGTCGTGTGTAAAGTTAAGGGTATATCCCTTAACTACTCAGCCTCACGACTGGTAAATTTCGACACCATAAAAGATATGGTGTTGGATACTTCCACCAGCCAGGTATGCGTAGCCTCAACAAACATCTTGAGGACCAAGGAGCACGAGGTGATAACCGTACAGCAAACCAAGCTGTATAAACCTCTCTCCTGCAAGAGACGGTTCCTGGACGACCACAACTCGGTGCCCTACGGATGGAAGAGACCTAAGCTTTAACCTGTTTTTCTATGTGTGTGTAACATTCTGTATATATATATTTACTAACTTGTATTCTAATTTAAATAAAAAATTAATTTTATCGCTGCTTTTAATTTTCCTGGTAATTGTGTGTGTGTGTTTGAGATACTAATAGTAGAGAGTTGAAAAACATTTCTCAATTAACCACGTCTTTCAAGTTAATTATTGCAAGGGTTAAAAATAATACTCAATCATATGTTACAAGTTTTTATTAAGGATATCTGTACATAACATTACAATACATTTCCCCGTAATTTTTACATTCACATTTTTTAAATAAATTCTCTGAGGCTTCATTACTGCAAAACGCCGTAAACTGTTCACGTTCTTTCACATGGTGTACATTTGTTGTGGCATGTCCTTTTCTACGATGCGCCTCCAGCGTATAAATGTAGTTGAACGTCTTTGGATTTGAATGCTTGTTGAAGGGGTCAAAGTTCATTTTAGACAGCAAGGCAAACGATACAGGTTTTTCGTCTTCATAACGTATATAACACGAAGGCTGTTTATCCAAGTACCATTGATTAATTAATACATCGTCGCGAATATTTAGCTTCCTTATCTCTCTCAAGGCTTTTGCTTTAAAGTAGAACGTGGTTTTCATTTTCACAACTTGTCACTACCAAGAACAAGACAAGAATGAGGCGCTTGCTCAAGGTATTCTTATTATTATGTAGGTGTGTGTGGAGGGGGTAAGCGCTGTTTAATCTATTTCTAGCATTTTATTAACGTCATTTACAAAAATTTCAATAGGCGCGTTTACAAGTTTAAAATCGTTGTATTTGCATGTAATATACGGTATTTCGTCCTTGATACGATTAAAAAGGCTGATACTGTTGGGATTATACTCCAAATCAGCCACGACGCGCGCTTTCGGGTGCTTCTTCTGCAACCTCTTCAAGGATTGCGGGAAACGTCTTTTCTGTGTTCTAATGATATAGTACTCGGCCGCTTGATTTTTCTGTATTATAGCAAACATGTGTCGTTTGTTCGGGTTAACGACCTTTGGACTTATATCTTCTACGTAATTTTCCAACTTTTCATTCCGGGTTTTTAATTCGCGCAACTTGGACATTAGAGCTTCATTATCGTGTTGGTAGTTGGTCTTGAATTCGTTAACCAAATATTTTTCGATTATTTTACTGCATTTCATGTAGAATTCCGGAGATACCCAGCAAGCGATATCCAGGAACAACCCTTTGGGCAAGTAGGTGCCAGAAATAATCGTATTGTACACGGGGCTCTTATTGCCTTTTACCGTGTAGGAGGGGCCTGGGAACGTCGCTGGAGAATCCGAGGAATCACTTTCCGATGCATAATATCGCAAAAGTTCTTTTGATCTTTTATTACGTAGCCAGTTATCAAATCTTCGGCTGCCATCCTGGCATAGCTTTGTAGCGTTAAAGTAACCGGTGTCCTTGTCGACAATAATCTTAAAATCTCCATATAAACCGTACCAGTATTGGTCTTGGATTTGCTCGAAACAAACATCTCTTAGACTTGACATTTTGAGCACGTCTGAACACTTTGAATGTTAGATGAAGAATGATTATAGACACTGTGATGACTATATTTATTTTTTTCTTAGCCCGATGCCGCTGAGGACCATTCCAGCCGATGTCTGAAGACGTCGATTGCGTAGGCGCGTGCGCAGCTCTAGACGCCGCTACACCAGGTGGATGACTCTCTGAAGAGGTAAACTACTGAATTATTCCCATATTATGTAGCTTGTTGATAATGTCACTACAGACACGATGTTCTTTAGTCAAACCACACTCTTCGATATAATAGCGTAATTCATTTACAAGTTCGTCGGGATCGTCTTCGTCGCAATCTGATTGTTCATCATCATCATTTGATGTTTGGAGAGGTCTGTATAAATATTTTCTATTACAGGTACTGTTCTCGTCATTACTGTTTGTGTCGTCGTCTGCGGTTAGTTCGCTGTTATTGTGTTTGTTTTTCCTGTGCGAGATTAAGTTATCTTATCTTGTAAATTTCTTTCCACATATGTCACAGGGAAAAGAGGCGGCGGATTTATGCTTGTTTGCGTGGCGGCTAAGCCCGCTTTTATATGCAAAACACTTGGAGCAGATGTTACACGTATACATGTTTACTCTTTGAATAGCAGACGAGAAATGACCATGCATGCGTAGATTATATCCTTTTATTATCCTTTTATTATCCTTAATTACGTGACGGTTACCCTTAATTACACGACGGTTATCCTTAATTACGGAACGGTTATCCTTATTTTACGTGACGATAACGGCAATGTGACTTAGACCTAGCGTAGGTGTTATCCTTTTTTTGATGCGTGTAGTAGTCGCGGATGATTTATCTCCCGGATGCTCGCTCTCATACACAATCGAGATGTCTGCCTGCGAGCGTTGTATCAAAATTTTTGCTGACTCCGACACGCCTAATATCATATATTCAAACGTCGAGGTTTTTCAGAGCGGGGCTATAGTCTTCATTACGTTTACAGTGTGTGAGATATTCTTCGTTTTGGTAGAAGTGCCTGTTGAGGGGTGCAGTGTGGGGGACCTGATGCAGATTATGCTCTATGATGAAGTTGGTGATTTGGATTTAGTGGTACATTTTTATTTGTCTGAAGAAGAGGATTGTCTGCCGGTAGAGGATGATGATATAAGAGATGAGTGGGACGTAGTGATATCGCGTAGTTTAAATGCGTCAGGGGACTATTACCTAGCGGGTTTTCCCCGTGAGGAATGAGCTATTTCCACACCACCCCGGAGGTAAGCTCGCGGCGCGTTGCCTTTTTTTATAGTGGAGGCGTCCCCTGTAGGCCTACAACCACCATCCAACCGCTTAGTCCAGCTCGTAGAGATCTGCAGGGCCTATCAGCTCCAACAGATCTTCCTTATCCTCTTCCTTAACCTCTTCCTTATCCTCCTTACCCTCCTCCTTACCCTCCTCCTTATCCTCCTCTTCCTCCTCCTTATCCTCCTCCTTATCCTCCTCTTGCTCCTCCTTATCCTCCTCTTGCTCCTCCTCCTCCTTATCCCTCTCTTCCTCCTCCTCCTTATCCTCCTTTGGCTCCACTACGCTAGGACTTGTTGCCAGTATTATTTTAGATGTTTTTATAAATTTTTTACATACTTACATCTCTGGGGTCATTTCCTCGTAGCATCTGAAAAAAATATAATATTAAATTCTCTACAGTTTTAATCTTTTTATACTTACTGCAGATCTAATATAATCGTTCCGTCATAGCTAAAAAAAGAATGTTTTGTATTGCGTAATACTATTTATTTAAAAACTTACAGATTACCAGGAATTTCCCCGTATTTTTTATAGTGCCTGAAAGCTTCGATTAGACTGATTTTTTAAAAATTCATATACTTACTCGACGGTTTCTTTGCAGAAACAGAAACAGCTGTCACACACCGCGCAGTAGTACATTTTTGAATAATGAAAAATAAGGAATTGCGGAAGTATTATCTGTTTTGCAAGTAATTTGCGTAGGTGGTAGAACGGCTCGTGTATCCTGTTTTTGATTACTGAGAGAGATGTTCCCCGTATATTATCTCAAAATTCCAAATGGATCTACTGCGTGTGGCTCGTGTAGAAACTGTTAAAGTGTGTCCCTATTGTAATCATGTTTTTGCCGTAAAAGACTTTAGGAAACATTTACGCAGGCATCGATATTGTGTGGCGTGTAAAAGACGGTTCTATAAGGTTCATACCTATAAGAGACATATGCGCCAACACCACACACACGACGTTCGTCCTTTTCCGTCTGATTGAAACTTCTAATTATTATTATTATATTTTCAGGTAGTTCCTGTCTACAGCGAACATGGCCAGACGTGTACAGCGTGGAATGCGTCAGGTATGTGTACTTTAGGATATTAAAATAATCTTCTTGTATTCGTACCTTTCCAAAGCTCCTCTTAATTTCAACCGCCCCGAGTTATAATAAACAAGGAAGATCGAACGCGTCTATTACTTGCATCTGAACATCTAGGTTTTCTTTATTTTTAAATCTTTAAATTTAATGCCTTTTCAATCCTCGGTAGGCTAATCATGGGTCTTCACTGGGATCAACGTACAAGACCTTTATTCATTTCAACAGCTGGGTAGTCGTTTTCTTTTTGAAACGCTACACTTTCCAGCGCCGCTCTCAATAATAATGGAGAAGACATCTAACCTGTTGCGTTCTATAGCAACTAGGTCTTCATCAAAAAATTTGATACTATGGACTCGCCATATAATGCCTCGCGCCCCGCGGGTGTCCAAGATATTATTGCAATTTTTCTGTATGTTTACTATAGCCGGCACCTTCTTGTATCAGTAAGGAGCAGTCATCGCTTCACTTTCCAGCACCACCCTCAATTTTATATATGTAACGCTCCTTGTCTGACTGGCTAGAGCAGTGCGCGGGCCAGCCGGACGCCTGCTGTTTCACGGAAATGAACTTGTTCATCATCCCCGTGAACAATCCTCCGATCTTTGTGGCCTTATTATATTGATCTATTTGATAAGACTATATCTCGTAGATCTCCAGCAGGCGATACCCTTTTTCAACGGCTTTATGTATCTCTCCTCCATGACGAACGCATTTCACTTTCTATCAGCGAGGAGCAGTCATCGTTTCACTTTCCAGCACCGCTTTCGATTTCCATAATTTCATATATATTCTTTCGTTTTACTGGCTTTAATAAGTAGCTGTATTTGCCGATTTATTAATTTAACAAAATTTTGAATACCGTGTGTACGACTTCCGCGTACACCTTCTTCCATTTTTCTACGGCTTTATGTACCTCTCCTCCATGACGAACGCATTCACCGCCTTCGGGTCAGTGAGGAGCCGTCGTCTTCGTTTCACTTTCCAGCACCGCTCTCGACTTCCATAATTTCATATATATTTGTTTCCATGGTTTCATATATTTTTCCCTGGTTTCCCCAATAAAGCGTTTATTAATAACTTGTATAAATTTTTCTCAAAGCCTTTTTTAAACAGTTTGACTTAATGTCGGGGCTCTGGTACGTGTTCCGAAGAAAATAGTTTTAATTAAATTTTCATCTAAAATTTTTAGTAAACGAAATGTATTTTCCTTAGTTATCGGAAGTACATCTGCCCTACCCGGCAGGTCATTCGCGATATTTTCCGAAACGTTTTAAATGCCCCAAACTCGAACCAATTTCATACTTGCTTAATGCGCCCAAATATCCTTCTGTCTATTTCCTCATAGAAACTTCATGGGCTTCAAAATGGGCCAATTTCTCCCTTATTTCCTAGCCTTCTTTACTCTAGGATCGCCAGCCTCTATGAAATTGCGGTAACCAACCCCTTTGGAGTAGAGACTGCTCCCATTATCTGCGAGATTACTTTGGAGTGGAGGTTACCTTCTCTTCGCGCTCTCTGTTGTTCTCTGATTTGTTTTTGCTCTTCTATATTGTCTAGCTATCCCTTGCCTTGAACTCTTCCACTGCGATCTTTCTTTTCTTTCTAGCTCTGCTTCTTGTGAGCTTCCTCCGCTATTTTTATATGGTTTTAATACTATATTCTTCAGCATGCTCCCTGTAGAACTTTCTAAGAAAATAAAGAAATTATTTTTGCGTATTAATTATTTTTGCGTATTAATTATGAAAGGCAGAAAAATTATGAAAAATTAAATATTGACAAATTACTCTATAAAAAATAATATTACACCAAACTAAAAATGGTGCAATTATTTTATGAAAAATATAGAAAAATTTATTAAAATTAAATATAGAAAATTGTGAAAAGTATAGAAAAATGTATTAAAATTAAATATAGAAAATTACATATTTTTTATAGCTTTTTAATCGTTCTCCTAACTATTTCGATAGTATTTTTACCTTTTGTACACATACTGAGATTTTTTCTCATTCCGTGCCTCTGCTCTAGGTTCCTCCCGGACTACATCTACCTGCAGTAAGAAGAAGCGACCACGTGACAACACCTGGGTTTTAAAAGAAGCGACCACGTGACAACACCTGGGTTTAAAAAGAGGTATTGTTCTGTCTCTGTTGTGGCTATGTAATAAATTATTATTCACAGCTTTTGGTTTTCTTGATACATTTGCAATATTTAATACAAATAACGTAACGCTGTTAATATGTCTTGAACGTTTGAGATTCCGATGAAGAAGGATGTCCCTCCTCCTTTAACACATGCCGCTATTTCGTCTCCTTTAGTTTAAGCACTTTAATCTTATATATCATTCCGGTATACGATTACGACGCTATTAGACCCCAATAACGCCAAGTACACCGCAAACGCCAGATTAGGTAATCATACACCGTTATTAGACCCAAGAACACCGCAGGTTGCGAATCCTCCTGACATCTACTGATAACTCCTAGTACACCGCGAACGGTAACGAACCCTCCGTCTGACGTCATCTACTGATAACGCCAAGTACACCGCATTAGACCCGGCTACTGATAACCGCCAAGAACATCGCGGCTACTGATAAGCGCGCGGCCGCGTTGGGGGCCCTGTGGAGAAGCCCCTCGCGGGACATACTCAGGCATTGAGGCTGCTTACGTGGGGAATCCTACGCGGGGCACAGGGAGCAAAGCCTTGGGTGACGCGGGGGCAGAGCTTATGCGGGGTGGGGCAAAGTCCTATGAAGGGGCCCCAAGTGGGGCAAAGCCCTAGGGACCGAAGTCGGCCCTGCTGCACACCTGTAATTAACACCTGTCGGCGGCATCCTTTGATCTTTGCCGACAAGGGTCAAATTTTTGGGAATTAGGTAAAAACACAAGTTTCAATTTTCCCACGGTCCTAGAAATTTTCCCAGGCTAAGGTGCCGCCATACCTACTATCTGTTATTTACAAAATTTACCCCCAAGCCGTATCACTTCTTTAACCCTCTCGTGGTAGTTCCAATAAGGCGCCTGAAGATACACATAAAAAACACGAAATATTGGATAGCATCACTCAAACGCTATTTTTCAAAAAGTCTCTGGTGCACTGACACTTAGATTAGGGTTTTGATCAAACCATTTTAATTTCTGAGTTCATTGACTGAATCCACATACTGAAACAAAATTCGAAATAGTATTTGCCGAATTGATTAAGGCTTACATAAGAATTAATTCCGTCCTTTCAGTCCTTTCGATATTTTTAAATTCAACAGGTTAAACAATATATGCTTTTTGTGTTTAATCGGGTTGACGCCGTTATCATGGCTAAGACATAAAGTCTGTAATACATTTTCTTTAGTATAATATGCAGAACTTCTAAAAAGGATTTGTTCTTTTTATATGGAACATACCTTTCATCATATCACATGCTCGTTTGGAAAAAAACATAAAAATATGGTGGTCGCACTTTATAACTATTATAGCTTTTGAGGTTAGGTACGACTAATGACTAGTTGGGTTCAAACGGATGTAGGAATTCGATTCAGTGACCCCAAAAATATAAAGATATGTTGGTTACACTTCATTCCTAAAAGTGGAAAAGTGTAATCTTAGCAATTTGCGCTACTTTTTTGAGGTTAGGTACGAACTCTGACTAGTTGAAGTTATATTGATATCAGAATTGGTTTCAGCGATCCCGAAAACATAAATTGTGGTGGTTAGACTGTGGTTACTCATAGTAGAAACGCTTTATTTTAACGATTTAAAGTATTTTTAAGGTTGGGGACGAACAGTGACCAGATGGGTTTTAACGAATATTGAATTCGAAATCAGCAACCCCAAAAACGTATAGATATGGTGATTCAGTCTTCAATGCAGTATTTTTATGTTTGTTATCTATCAATAATGCTCATTAAACAGAATTTTCCATGATTGCGGACGCCATATTGGAACCGCCATGATGTTTTTTTAAAATCATCAGACGGCCTTCGATAGAGTTTTTAAATACGAAGATTTTGACACGTCGAACGTCAATATTGATGCATTTTTATTCTGGGCAGCCCACTATGCCCGTTGACGTGAAACGCCCGATATATATATATATAAAAACGATTAGAGTATCAATAATTATTGTGTAAAATGACTAACCTTAGCAACTAAAATTTCTGGTGATTTTTCCATGAAACCCTCTATTAATAGCGATATCTACAAATTAATTTTTAAATTTATTGTATGACCTATTAAAATTGCTAAAGAATTTTCCAATTGATTGTTTTATCATGGGAAACGCGATTTTCTCGTAAACGGCCGAAGCAAAGTGTGCATTGCCAAACATACTTTGTTTGGGCTGACTGAGACTTGAAATTAAGATGGATAACTATAACACTAGTTTACAAGGTTTTTATACCCCAGCTGAAAGTTGTTGAATTTTATCTATCCATCTAAAGGTAATCTAGGAAAAATATTTAAAAAATTCCATCACGTCCACATTCAGAATTTTTTATTAAAGAAAAAAATAAGAAAATGGATTAAAACGATAAGAAATAAACTAAAAATTACTGATTTTGGACTTTTTTTATAGGTTTCAGAATCGGTTTCTCTTAAAATAGACCAGCAGTAGTCTCCCAACATATTTTCGTCCCAATATCCTTGATGGCGATCTTCAAAAGCCTTTAAATCCTGGTGAAAATGCTCTCCTTGCTCGTCGCTCATACTTCCTAAATTTTCCGGAAAAAAAACCAAGTGGGAATGCAGAAAATGGATCTTTAATGACATGTTAACACGAATCTTATGATAATTTTGTTATAAATCAGCCACTATGTCTTTATAATTTTCACTTTTATTATTTCCTAAAAAGCTATTAATAACAGTTTTGAATGAATTCCAAGCAGTTCTTTCATTCGTAGATAAAAGGGTACCAAACTTAGGATCACTTATGATTTTGCGTATTTGTGGGCCGCCAAATACACCCTCTTTAAGTTTGGCTTCGGTGATATAAGGAAAAAACTTTTGTAAGTAGTGGAAAGCATCACTGTTTTTGTCTAATGCCTTAACGAAATTTTTCATACGTCCCAACTTTATGTGTAGGGGGGGCAAAATAATGTTATTTGGATCTACCAAGGACTGATGTTTGATGTTCATTTTGCCAGGAATGTACTCGTTTCGAATGGGCCACTCTTTTCTGATATAGTGATGCACTCTGGCCCTGCTGTCCCAGAGACAGAGAAATCAAGAGTATTTGGTGTATCCACCCTGCAATCCCAACAATAAACCTACGACTTTAAGATCACTGCAAACTTTCCATTTGTGTTCTGCGTACTTAATCAGCTTCATTAGAGTACTCATTGTATCGTAGTTCTCCTTGCAATTTACAGCGTGGCCTATTGGAATAGAGGGTTTTGTATTCCCATTACGCAATAAAACAGTTTTCAAACTGTACTTGGAAGAATCGACGAATAAACGCCAGTCTGTGCTAGTGTAATTTTGGTTCATTGCTTTAAAAAGACCCAGAATATCAAAACAAAAATAATACTCCTCTTCTCTTTTGAAAAATTCTGCATACAATTTGCTTCTACTTCTAGCCAATGTAACTTTTGTACAGTGATGGGCAACTTAAAGTCCCCACTAGTTGGGTCGCTCTCATTCTCTCGCGCCCCGCCACAAATAATTTGGTATGTTTCGGACTGGGAGTGTTGTTTGCAAATATACACAGTGGCACCAAAAACTGTTGTATTCAATAGGGTGAATAATAATTAATCCGATAACAGTTGCATTTNGTTTTTAAATACGAAGCTTTTGACACGTCGAACGTCAATATTGATGCATTTTTATTCTGGGCAGCCCACTGTGCCCGTTGACGCGAAACGCCCGATATATATATATTTTTTTTCCTTGCTTTATACCGCGATCGTTGTAGTTTTTTCAGATTTATTAGTATCGAATGTTCTAGAATTCTCAGTATACACACGTCATATCCGTTACCTCCATTTTGTGAACTAGTCACTGTCAATTTCGTTTTTAACCATACTTTTTAGCCGGTCATTTTAGTTGAAATTTTAAGAATATTTACTATACCCTTTTTGCAAATTTTGGTGATTTTTATTTACAAAACTAATTTTATTTATTTCCGTGGTTCAATTGTATAGTACCTTCTTGATTGTCACTTCTGTTCATTAATATCTTCGGGTTGTGATAAAGTAACTTGTTTTGGAATTTTCATTTTCATATTTTAACTTTTGCAATTTTTTAGTAGAATTATTACTGTAAATTTTAGTCATCGAGTAATTTGTTATCGAGCTTAATTTATGTTTTCACCTACAGGGTGATATTTTTATAGTCACATTATACCGTTTCCTTTACATCATTACGAACTTTCTTCAAAAGTTTGTATACAGGGTGAGATTTAGTCCCTGTTACTGATTAAAAATTTAATCATCATTAATTATAAGTAGCATAATTAATAACCTATTTCTATTTGTAACCTTTGAAAATTTTTGCTTGTTTTAAAACTTATTGTACATTATTGGTGATCTGGTTTGAAATTATTTTTCATGTAAACCTGCTCTGGCCTTTGACACAACTACGAGGAATAACGAGTACTCGTACACAGCCTGGGTCTGATCATCGTGTAAGCCCTGCCGTCCGAGCCACCACTGCAGCTGTTGCTGGACCACTTGCCATAAGCCATTGCCATCTACCACCATTGGCTTCCCCGCTTATAACGATGCTCATCGCTTGAGGCACTTGGAGGCAGACAATTTATTACCCATTGGACTGTTGGTGAGGTGTTTTTGTGTTGGCCAGAGGACTAAACGACATATCACTCCGTTCTGTATAACCTTTCTATTTTTCCAGTCATCAATAGTTTAGATTAATATTTATTTGAGCACCTTACAATTTTAAATTAATTCTTAATATAAAGTAGAGTTGTAAAAAAATAGCAAGTGTAACTAACTTCTATATTTTGAACACATTTATTTTAATTTTTGTTTCTTTTTTTATTAAGTCGAATTCCTTAAAGTAATTTAGTACCAGTGGTAAATCACCTGGCGCCTAAACAAGCGACCAGCAGAGACATAGGTTTCCGATTTTACTGAAAGCGATCCCCCCTTGACCCCTGAGTTAGCTGGAGCTAATTTTGAACTTCCACGGAATTGCCAATTATTCCATAGGTGGAAACCTAGAGTTTACTCTAAGGAAGTTTC